GGGAGGCAGAGGCAGGCGGATCTCTGTGAGTTCAAGGCCAGCCTGGTCTACATAGTGAGTTCCAGGACAGCTGGGGCTACAGGGAGACCCTGCTTCAAACAAACAAACTAACAAACAAACCAGCTGCAATGAGAAAAAAAAAAAAATGAAAAAAAAAAATATCATGAGAATGTGGATTCCAGACATTAGGGTTCTGTAGTCCCTGATTGACAGTAACTGGGAAAAACTGTGGAAAATCACCCATTGTATCATAGGAGAAGGGCCTAGACAGCAGGGACTTCCAGCCCTCCTCTGGAAGGGAGGGGTAGATGGACTCGGGGGAAACTTCCTTAGAGCTAGTGTAAGATGGCGGAAAGTAGCCATCACCCCATAATGGTGGAGTGGAGGCTGCCTTAACTTCCCATTTTTCATCAAAGCCAGTACAAGATGGCAGAGGTTAGCCACCACCCCATAATGGCAGGGCAGGGGTGATCTTGGCTTCCTGTTTTTCATCAGGGGGACCCTCGGACCCTAATTCCTCATTGTTTACCTCATCAGCAGTCACCATTTCTGCATCAGAAGAGAAATCAGTTAGTTTGGTTTTGACTGGATACGCCTGGGACAGGCCATCCCCACTATCCTGTAGCTTTATTTGTTTATCTATGTGTTTAAGTATGAGATTATTCTGCTCAGGGGCATGGGGGGAACTCTCCAAAGCGAGGCCAGAATGGCAGTCACAGTGGGGTAGAATGGCCCAGGTAATGGACGACCCTCCCTTACTTCTCTCTTTCTGGTCATGAATAGCACACAAGCCCATTGCTCTGGATCCCAATAGCAGGAATCTGTAAACCAAGGAGCAAGAGCTAGCACTTCATCTAATACCTTAGTTACTTCCTTCTCTGTTACCCTATTTTGCCTACTCCTGAGGAGAGAAACCAGTGCAGCAGTGTGGGGGCGGGCAGAAGCTGGATGACTGCTCCCCATACTGGAGGTCACTCAGCCTGCAAGACATACCCAGAAGGACTCAGGAGCCATTCAGGAAGATGATCGGCGGAGACAGGAACAACATGCCAAACCAAAGACTGCGAGCCAGAAGAGGAAGCACAGGAGAACGAAAGCAGCTAGCACCCACGGAAGGATTACTGGCAAAAAGGGCACAGGATGCCCAATGTGTTACAGCCTCAGGGGGTCGGGCTTTTTGAGCCCCACGTTGGGCACCAGCTTTCACCCTAGGCTCAAGCCTGTCTCCCACAGGAAATTACTTATTAAAATGTTTGCTGTAGGGGACTGTTTCCAAACGGTGTCATATCTACTGTGGCCTTGGGTGCCAATCACCTCCTGGATCAGATCTGATTCTGATTAATTTATATAGTTTAAATAGCTCTGCAGAGGGTCTCGGAAATTGGAACATAGCTAAAAGCATTCAGTGGTATACAAAGGTTATTTTTAAAATAATAAGTAAATGTTAATTAACAACTTTAAAAACATGAAGCAGAATCTCAGGGGTTTTTCATGAGCTGTATCAGCTCTTCAAGAAGACTTTCTCCTAGACCCTGTTGCTTCTGCTTGATTTATAGTTATCTGTTGCTACCAGAAAATAACCCTGAAGCATGATGCAGTGAACTTTTACCATCCCACAGTTTTTGTTGGGGATCTAGGTGAGGCTTTGTTGGGTTATGCCTCCACAGACTCTTCTAGGATTCCAATTAGGGAGCAGGGCTCTGGTCTCAGCAGAAAGTTCACTGATGGACAAGTCTCTTCCAGGTTCATTCACATGGTCGTTGGCAGTCCACAGTTCTTCCTGGGATATTAGCCACTGGCTTCCCTCTTTTGCTTGTGATATTGGCTACTCCATAGAGCAGCTTTTGTTTTGAGTCCAGGTCTCACTATGTGGCCCTTGGCTACTCTGGGAATCACAGAGATCCTCCTGCCTCTGCTTCTCAAGGTCTGGATTAAAGGCCTATGCCACCACTTTCAGCTTGATATGACCTTTGACCTCCCAAGTGAGGTGAGGGAAGAGAAGGAGGAAGAAGATCATGGTCTTTTTCTAGAATTCTCTGAAAGACATCCTGTTCCTATATTCTGTTTTTGGGAAGTGGATGCATTCATTCCACACTCACAGGTACAAAGGCTGTGAATATCGTCGGGAGCATATTTGTGGACCATCTTAGTCTTTCTGTCACCCACAGTAAGGGCTGGATGAATTGAAGTTAAACCTTTCAGAGGAACTGGGTTGCTGTCACAGCAAGATGCACACCAGAGTCCAGTCTGGTTGTGATTGGATTTAACAGCCACACTGTAGATCAAAGACTAGTAGGTTAACATGCCTTTTCTTTGTGAAGGGTGCAAAGATATTTTTTATTGACTTTCATTTTTAAATTTTTTAAAATTTTATTTTATGTGTATGAATGCTTTGGCTGTGTATAAGTGTACCTATGTGTGCAATGCTCACAGAGGCCAGAAGAGGGCATTGGATCTCCTGGAATTAGAGTTACAGACAGTTGCTAGAAACCCTGTGGATACTGGGAACCAAACTCCAGGTCCTCTACAAGAATAGCCAGTGCTTTGAACACTGACCCAGCTCTTCAGCTCCTTTATTGACTTTTAAATTACCTTGTGAGGGAGAATTTTGAAGGATGGTAGGGCGAAGATGGAAGTCCTGTGTATGATGATCATGAGCCAGGTGGGATGCAGTGGGAGGGAGCCATGCTTTGTTTTGCCGTGCAGATCTCTGTTTCCTGTCAACACCTCAGGGAGGCCTTCCCTGTCAATCTAATTTAATTAACTAGTCATTGCTTCGCTCCTAATCTCTTGCGTAGGCCTGATGGATTGACTCTAAATCTATTCCCTGCCTATTTTCTGGCAGGGAACTAAGGATCTTGCCTGTCTTGGTCACCCACTAATCACTAGCACCTTGCATTGGGCTTCACAAGTGTTGATGAAGGAATGAAACAGCCAGGCATGTGGGGCAGACCTGTCATCTGAGCACTTCAGTGGCTGAAGCAGGAGGAGATGGTTTTATGAACAGCCTGGGTTATATGTAGCAAGATTCTCTCAGAAAAACAAAACCCCCAAAACATGAACATGAAATGATCCCAAGGCTCTTCCCGGAAATTATAATATGGTTGTGACTTCCACAGGAAATACCACTTATTCCATTACCATGAATGATACATTAAATATTTTAAAAGAAAAAACAAAAGAACCAGCATCCCAATTATGTGTCCCAATTATGTGGTAGTTTTGTCCTTGTCACTAAAGCCTAGTGAGCCATTTGGCAATTTACCTTTTATCTCAGGGCCTCAGTTTCCTCAAGATGAATAAGCATGGGGATGAAGGCGAGGGTCACTGGACTGTGCTCTTGTCACCAGCTCTCTCACCCCTAACCCCAATCCTGAAGGCAGTACAGGTTCTGAGCACTGCTCCATAGGAGTGGCTCTGGTGGGTGTGCTTTTGTTTTGTTTTCTTTTTTTTTTTAGAGCTGGGAAGGACACCCAGGGTGGATATGCTTCCATGAGCTCCATTCCCAGTCCTTGTTTCTTTAAAGCACTGGTCTACCGCGTGAGATTTTGTTTAAAGTAAGGATTATGTACATGTATAGATATGTGCATACATATGTAAGGTGGAAACTTGCAAGTCCTCAATGCCCACCAACGGCCACTCAAACTCTGCAAAAGCATTCACCTGCAGTAGTTGAGATGTATATGGAGAGGGACACAAAGGCCCCAAACTTCATGAGAACCAAATAGAAGAGTGACGGGTGATTTCAGTTAAGGCAGAGAGTGTTTTTAAAGACATAAAGAGACATAAACCTAAGAGAGCATTTTTAAAGACATAAAGAATCTTATCCCAAAGATCAGCCCACCAGTGCTGAGTTATAGCTAGAGAGGAGTAACTCCTGGTGTGTTACTGCATCTGAGTGACTACAGGTAACAAGGTAACATGCAGGATAGTTCAAGAAAGCTAGGAAAATGGACTCTGAGTGTTTTCACTGTAAAAACATGGTAAATGTTTGAGTAATAAACATATAGTGTATACAGGTGTCAGAATGTCCTGTGGTATCCTATAAACATGCAGTTTCTAATGTGTTGGTTATTTTCCAAAGATGAAATTTCTCAAGAGCTCATGTAAAGTTTGGTGATTATTTCATACTAATGTGTAATAGCCTTGAAATTTGCTAGCAGTAGGTATTTTTCTTCCTACCCCCACGCTAATTAGTTTGACTGTGGTAATTATTTCACCATTTCTATATATGTCAAGACATGGGGTACATCTTAACATACACACACACACATACACACGCATGCACACACGCACGCACGCACAGTCAGTTCTACCATAGTAAAACTGGGAAAAAGAAAAAACCCGACCCCCCCTCCCCCATGTTCAGTCTCTCACTGTGCTGGTCCACACTTCATACTGCCGTTGAAATTTTAGTATTGATTTTTCTCCTTTTTTCTTTCACATTGATTTACTCATTTCAAGATTTTGAGATTTCTTTTTTGGCACCATATCTCCTGCCAGATAGCCAGAGCTTCAAGAGCCAAGTTTTATAATTAAAATTCTATGGCAAGTGTGGCGCCATTAAGCCTAGCAGAAAAGATTCAGAAGCACATCACTTAGTAATTTAAATATAATACTTCTGGCAGCATTCCATTTGAGGTATTTTTACTTCTAATTAGTAATCTATTACCAAACATTAATATCATTTCTACTGTGCTCTGTTGTGGTCCCTGGTTCATTTTGGATAGCTAGCCTTTAAACGAACAGCTTGGGTACATGGCTGTAGCAGCCCACATTGTTTTCTTTGGCCTTTGGGAATCACTAATTCCCCTACATAATTAGTATAAATCAAAATCCTCTAGACTCTGACAGGAAAATGGTATGTTTGAACATCAGCTTATTAAAGTGACCTAGTTAATTTTAGAAAAATATTGTATCTGCTTGCATGGTAACCTGGATGCTATCACTAACAGATTTTATATCTTTCTCTCCCTATCCCCCCCCCCTCTTTTTTTAAGAAAATGAAAAAGAGTGGAAAGGCCCATTCTACTTCATCCAAGGTGCAGACCCACAGTTTGGGCTGATGAAGGCCTGGTCTACTGGGGACTGTGACAACGGCGGTGATGAGTGGGGGCAGGAAATCCGTCTCACTGAGCAAGCTGTTAAGGCCATCAACAAACTGAACCCCAAACCCAAATTCTTCGTTCTGTGTGGTGACCTGATCCATGCCATGCCAGGTAAACCTGGAGTCAACATTTTCTCCTTCAGCTAGTCCTGATCAGGTGTAGACCGAAAAAAGAAAAAGATTTTGCTCCACAGACATTTCTATTGGGCAGCAGCTCATCCTTCTCTTCAAGACAGTTGCATTATCTTGAACATCAGAAAATGCATGCTCATTTTATATTTAGAATTTGGCGAGATTAATCACAGTAATTAGGCAGAGTTACAGTTCTGATGATCCAAGCTTAATATGGAAAACAAAACACATCCCCCCATTCACCTTTCTGCATTTCCAAGGACAAACCTCAGATACCATATCCATAAATGTAATCATGTCCCTTCTCTCTTTGCTTCTTAGAATTTTTTATCTCCCATGTTTGTTGGTGCCTTTTTTTTTTTTTTTTTT